ATCTCAATCACTAAATTATCGTGATTTTATTGTTAAATATTAAATATTATATCCGAATATTCCATTTTTAGAAGACTTAGAATAACAAATCATGTTTATATTTAATAGGCGAATTTAATTACCATAAATTAGTAAATTGTTATAAATTAAGATATAATCCGTTGATTTTGCCTAACATAAATTAATGATTTTGATATAAACGATTTAGATTTAAATGATTAAGGAAATATATACATATTATGGATTTTAAATGATTAAGGAAATATATATTCAAAGAAAATCGAATAGGATAATGATTACTTAATAAATAATTCTTCAATTTTTAATATATAATGAAATGACAAAAGTTTATTTATAAAAATCTTACAAATAAAAAGTTATATTATCAAATGTATTTAAAAATGTTAATATAGATTGATTTGGTTGGTCAAATTAAAAATTAAAATAGTTTAAAAAGTCAACTACATTGAATATTACATACTAAGAAAACATGGAATGGTTTCTATTAAAACAAATATTAAAATACTCAATGTTTAAAATTTCGATCAAGATCTTTATAAAATATTTGAAATTAAGAAAATCTTGCCAATTAAGATAAATTTTAGGCATTGTATCTTACAAATAAAGTTAAATATCAAACGTAATAATTATCTTTCCTTTAATATTGAAAACCAATTTTTTTTTTTATCAACTGAAAAATGAACGATTGAGATTAAATCTCTAAACCCGATTAACATATCCGTTTAGTTAGTTAGATTCGCGTGTTAACCCAGTTAGAAATGATAATTATTTCATTTTGAAACTATAGTGTAAATTAATTGTGTACTTCAGCTTTAATAGTATAGATGTGGAAATTTATTAAAATATGATAATGTAGCAAATGACAAGAAAAGAAAAAGCAAAAAAAAAAAACAAATATTTTAATATAATTTGTTGTAAAGTGCATGTCGTTGTCTTTCCTTGAGAACGGCACGTAGTTGGAGAACATAAGTATTAGTAAAATCAAAATCAATCCACCTAGAGTTGTATGGGCCTAAATATTGGGCTTAGACACAAGCCTAGATGCTAACTTCGAAATTAGGCGCACGGGCGTTCGGAATCTTGAGAATTTAGGCTTTAATCATCAAGAAAATCAAAATATACGAAGCGTAACATCGGTGAGAAGTGAGAGCACCTTTGACATACTCAAGAATGAGTGAACTGGAAAAATAAATATGTTTTTTTTTTTTTGGGTAGAAAATAAATATGTTTGCTTACAAAGCAGAAGAAGAGAGAACAAATATTTCAAAGAAGGATCCCTCCAAGTGGAATAATCTGAGCAGCATGCAGCCATACACTCGTCATCGTCCGTTCGTCGCGTCCGCCACATCTTCACGTGTCTATTACTCTCTCTACACTCTGCAAATTTTCGTTTCATACAGTTTTAATACCAGAAAACTCTCTAATATCTCAAAGCTTAAACCTTACCTTTCTAGTCGTTTTGTTTTTAACGTACAATTTTTTCTTAAAACAATTTCAGCATTATAATTATAAAATTAAAAGTGCTGCCCATCTACAAAGATTAATCGATTATAATTTTTGAAATATACTTAACATTAAAACCAACCACACAAAAAATAAAAAAATTCAACTAATATATGATTTGACAAATAAATATATGTAATATGATTTAACTCTTTTGTCTTCTTATTCCTCGTTGTCTGGTTTTCAATAATACCCTATATACATATGATGCTGATGTGTAAGAACATGCACTTTAAAGAGCCATGCATACTGAAATGTGTCTACTCCCTCCATTTTACAAGCTCAACTATAGTTCTTATTTCCATTCGTGATTATTATTTCAAATTACTCATACGATGCATCTAATATAATCCCTCCATGACGGGGAAAAAAAAACCTGAAGAGCTAAAGAAAAAACGAGAGAATACAAATTTATTTCATAGAGAGATAGTTAATTGATGTAGACATGTAGTCATCCAAACAAAAAAATAGACTTATGATAATTCTATCGAAGCGTATACAAAACAATTGATTGATTAAACCTATAATTTTGTTAGGTTAAGTTTCTATTTGCTTTCGATATTAATCAAACCCTTACTTTACCAACCACATTGATTTTTCCAATTACTATTAAAAAAAAAAAAAAAAAGAGAATCTTTAAAGTTTTAAATTTATTTTTAGAACCACTTTACACAACAAGGTCTTCTATAAATAGCTAAACTCCATAACCCACAAAGTACAAGTAAGTAAAGAGAAAGTAAAATGGGTCGAGCCTCATCTATTGTCTCCTTCTCTTTGACACTCTTGATCCTCTTCCACGGTTACACAGCTCAACAATGGCCCAATGAGTGCCAGCTTGATCAACTCAATGCGCTCGAACCGTCTCAAGTCATCCAGAGCGAGGGTGGTCGCATCGAGGTCTGGGACCACCATGCACCTCAGCTCCGTTGCTCCGGCTTCGCCTTTGAGCGTTTCGTTATTGAGCCTCAGGGTCTTTACTTGCCCACTTTCTTGAACGCCGGCAAACTTACTTTTGTTGTTCACGGTGCGCGCGTTTCTATTTATATAACTAATCCACTATTTGCCCAATTTAGTTTTGTAAAAAAACTGTGGTTATGATATATAAAAGATAAAAACTACATTATCCGAATTCACAAATACTTGAACACTCCTAATATTTTATATATATATAACTTACATGTTTGGCTATGAGGTAACAGGAAGGGGTCTAATGGGAAGAGTGGTTCCGGGATGCGCCGAGACATTCATGGAATCACCTGGGTTTGGAGAAAGTCAAGGCCAGGGTCAGGGTCAGAGTCAAGGGTTCTATGACATGCACCAGAAAGTAGAGCACCTACGGTGTGGTGACACCATTGCTACACCATCTGGTGTGGCTCAATGGTTCTACAACAATGGAAATGAGCCTCTCATTCTTGTTGCAGCTGCTGATCTCGCCAACAACCAGAACCAGCTTGACCGCAACCTTAGAGTAAGTCCAAGCACCAAAAAGAAATTTCTTATTTTAAACTGTTTTTTAACGTGTTGGTTTTAGTCTTTCTTAATTTGGTTTGTTTGATTAATTGAAAGAGAACTTTTCTCGA